TCTCTCTCTCTCTCTCTCTCGTCGCGGCTGGCCTCATGGTACTGCGCCCTCCACAGGATGAGCAAAATCGAATGAATTTGGCGCTATAGCGTGGGAATATACACTGCCATACTTTTTTTCGTTTTTTTTTTGTTTTTTTTTTTTTTCGTTCGTTTCACTCCGACGTTTGGGATGCCTGCACCCGGTAGTCCGAGCCTCGGCACGGGTCGGCGTACCGGTCGGCCGAGGCTCGGACTCGATAGTTGGGCCAGCTACTGGTGGTTTAACAGCCACATCCGTGCTCAAGCCTCCAATGAGGGCACATGCAAGAGTTGCACCCACAACGAGGGAACATGCACGAGGTGTGATACCTGCTACAACAGGTGGGCGATACCGGCCAGGGGGCAGCCGGAAGCATCAAGACCGAGATTCTTCGATGGGCCTGTCCCTGACAGAGCTTCTTCGATGGGCCTGTCCCTGACCGAGCTTCTTTGATAGGTCAGTCGCTGTGCCTCCCCTCCTGTCCCCTCCCCTTATGAACATCAGCAGAGTGGGAAGTCCGGGGTTGGTGCACGACCTTGGAAACTCTCGGCATGCCTCTCCCCTCCCCCTCCCCTACACTCCGCACAAAATCGCGGCGAGAAAGGCTCCGCAGACACTTTTCCAGGCCGCAGGCGATGTGAAAACAGCAAAACGCGCTCTTCCTGGCCACAAACGTCGGGGAGTGGATTCCAGGAAAAAACTTCAGAGAACAATTTCCATCTACAACATGCACTTCGTGAAAAGTAGACATTTCGTGAAAAATGGACTCAAGTCGAAAACTTTACGTTGATTTTTTTAAAAACGGGTTTTAAGGTTGTCACATAGGACATGCACTGGCTGTTGTCACAAACATTTGCGCATAAACCTATATTTCTTGTCAAGCAACGAAACAGATGGAATACAAAAAAAGCAAACAACATGTTATTGCCAATACATCCAAGTTGCAGATTTGCTTTGCATAAGGACAACTATGTTTTTGAAAGTCATACGTATAAGTGTAGGCAACTGCACGTCAGTTGCCTCTGCTTCTCCCCCTTCCGCTGCTCCTCTCCCCTCTGCGGCTCCTCCTCCGCTCCTCCCCC